ATAATAATAAAATATTTATAAATAATAATCAAATTTCGATAGCACTCTTTGAATATTTAAAAAGTGATAGTGAAATCACTATTTAAATCTATTCTAAATCTTATATAATCGAATCGAATATTCACGAGTACTCTATACTCATTGCCATCCTTAGTACAATTTGGAGTTTGGGAGGATGACATCATAAATTTTCTGGCCTTCTATTGTGGTGTATGTTGAGTACATCATAAATAAATCCAAATATACAAATATAGAATAAAAAATTGACGGAAACTTAGAACACCTTCTCCATACAAACGACTAATATGACAATTATAACCTCCAGATAATGAATTATCTTAAGGCTATAATGGGAAAACCATACCATAACCTTCTGTGTACGTTTCCGGATCTAAAAGCCCTTCAAAACCCAAGATAATACCCCCCTCTCTCTCAAATTTCAGTACTTTTTTTATTGCTCAGCTTGGCGCCATCGTACACAAAGTCGTCTCTGAAGCAGATCGCGATCTGAATTTTCTTTTCCCAGGTTGCATAATTTCCTTTTTCCCTTTTATTTTTCTTTTGAATTTACGCAGATATGTTGAATTCCTATGTTTCTGAATGTTGAACAGCCACGAGTGATCAATCGCAGCTAGATTTTTTATCCGGATTGTAGCCAACTTCCTCAAAATTTCGTTCCAATTTCAGATTTTGGGTTTTTTTAGTGCTTTTTTTTTTCTGGTTTCTTATTGCAATATTGAGTTAATTGCAGCTGATCGACTATTGCTTGCTAAGAGCTATACTACTTCTTTGGCTTTTTTTCTTACATACAAGTTGTTTCCGTTGATAGTTAGGGTTTTTTAATTTTCCCTTCTTGGATAGAACGAGGACCTGCCTGGTTCTATGACATTAAAATTCTTAGCGAATATTTATGCGTGTTTTAAGCGTCTTGGCAATATTTTTATTTAAAATTAATCAACGTCTTGTTTTTTTGTTGCGGTGAATAAAACTGTAAATTCTGTTAGAGTTGCTTTTTTTTACTTGTGCAACAACTGATTAAAATTTGTTCAAGGTAGAAGGTCGCCATGGCTGCTTCAGAAGAGAATAGTGCGTTGTTTCCCATTTTCATTTTAACAATAATGGCACTGCCTTTAGTGCCTTATACCGTAATGAAGTTGTGCCGAGCAGCATCCAGAAAACCAAAGGTCATTCATTGCCAGTGTGCAGATTGTTCTCGTTCAGGGAAGTACCGCAAATCCATATTTAAGCGGGTAAGTCATATTGTTGCCCCTTTAGTTTGCTCTTCAATGTTCAGTTTGTGAGGAGTTTCAGTATTTTGTCGGCATTGAGTTGTTTTTTCATATCTGGAAGATATTGATTTTGTTCCTGCAGATCTCAAACTTCTCAACATGTAGTAACCTGACTCTGGTGCTGCTCTGGATCATCATGATATTCCTGGTTTATTACATTAAAAACATGAGCGGGGAGGTAAATACATTTAGTTAGAGTTTGAATCATATATGAGATTCTTTGACTGTTATTTCCACTGTTAGAATTGTTGCTTCTTCTGGTGCTACTTTTATCATTCAGTTTAAGTTATTGTGATGCCTATGTTCTAGAAGCTCTGTTATGACTTGCGCTAAGTGAAGTGTTCTGTTTCTTTATTCAGATTCAAGTGTTTGAGCCTTACAGTATACTTGAATTGGAGCCTGGAGCTTCAGATGCTGAAATAAGGAAGGCATATAGGAGGCTTTCTATTTTATACCATCCAGATAAAAACCCAGATCCAGGTTGAAGGTGTTTTAGTTATTCAGTCGTATGAAATCCCATATATAACCTGTACATTAGCAAGAAAAATGAGGCATTTGACTGATAACTTTTACTTACTGATAGTTGCATTTATCTTTATATTTCAGCGGCTCACAAGCATTTTGTGGAGTACATAGTTAAGGCTTATCAGGCTCTCACAGACCCAATATCCCGTGAAAATTATGAGAAATATGGTCATCCAGATGGAAGACAAGTAATTGATCTTTTATCTTTAGAATGAGCAGTAATTTTTTTTAATGCTAATTATATAATTAACCCTAATTAAGACTAATGCCATATCTTTTTGATGCAGGGCTTTCAAATGGGCATTGCCCTTCCTCAGTTCCTTCTGGACATAGATGGGGCATCTGGTGGCATACTTTTACTCTGGATTGTTGGTGTTTGTATTCTTTTGCCATTGGTGATAGCTGTTATATATCTCTCAAGATCGTCAAAGTATACTGGAAACTATGTGATGCATCAAACCTTATCCACTTACTATTACTTAATGAAACCTTCACTGGCCCCAAGGTAATCATCTCATGCAAAAAAAAAGAAAAGTTTATGATCACTAATTATCAAACCCAAGTTTGAATCAATTAGTATCAGATGTACATGCACTCCATCTATGTTGGTAACTAAAAGGGCATGCAGTTAATATTATCCATGAGGGCAAGAGCTTTTTTCTTTTTGGAGGTTCCTTTTCTTGGGGTTGGGGGCTATAAGTAGGAAATAATGGGCCCCCCTCTTTCCTTCATGTTGTTTTTCTTTTTGGCCAATCCTTCATGTGTAGTCACATATGCGCTTGCATTAACGAGGCTTTTGCATTGCATCGTGCATGGATAACCATGTCTTACCTTGAGCTCGTGAAGTTATTGGAATATTGGGGGGTTAAAGGAAATGATGTATGGGGTTCCAGTGCCGAGATTACTGAACTCCTTGATTCAAGTGTTCTGCGGAATCTGATATTTATAGTTTTAAACCTTTCTTGATGTCTAATCGAGTCACAACTTTTTTTAATTCCCAAACTTTATAGATTTCTGGAGTTGTTTGCGTTATTTTGTGCAAAATGATTTGATTTATTTTGTTAATCTCAACCTGTACCCTGGTTTTACAGCAAAGTTATGGATGTCTTTACTAAGGCTGCTGAATACATGGAAATTCCAGTTCGTAGGACTGATGATGAACCTCTCCAGAAGCTTTTTATGTCAGTCAGGAGTGAGTTGAATCTGGACCTTAAGAACATTAAGCAAGAGCAGGCTAAATTCTGGAAGCAGCATCCAGCTATAGTAAAGGTAATTTATGCACTGAGATTTATCTGTATTAAGAAATTGGAATTTATCTTTTTTCTGCTTCTGAATGGAATTCTTATGATTGCTTTTGTGTCATTTTGTTTCCAGACAGAGTTGTTGATTCAGGCACAATTAACCCGTGAATCAGCTGCCTTATCTCCAGCTCTGCTTGGTGATTTCAGGCGCATGCTAGAACTTGCACCTCGCCTCCTTGAAGAATTATTGAAGGTCATATCTGCACCTGTCTATCATCTTCGAGTAGAATTCTAGGACTGCTTTTGTTACCATTTCACAACATATCTTGTGACCTGTTGTATACTTTTATACTTTAGGATTTTTTTTGACAACCTTAAGTGAAAAGGTAAAGAAGCCATTCATGCTTCATCTAATTAATATGTTTTCAAAACCCTCTTTATGGGTGAAAGCCATGTGAATTTATTGAGATTTCCTTAGTACTTCAGGATAAGAAAATATAAGATTGCTTGGTAATTTGGCTTATGTAAACCACCTCTCTTTAATTAAATAATTTGAATGAAATTTGTGCATGGTTACGTGCACAACATGCCAGTGTCATTGGAAAGGCTGAAACCAGCCTTGTGCATTTTATAGGAGTTTTAGATATGTAGGATGTATGATGAAGTTTTCAAAAATAAACCAAGAAAGAGAGTCAGATGAGGGAAAAGATCCTGGAGTGGATGATAGAATCAAATTAGAGACAAATGTATAAGAAGCTAAATGAAAAACTACTGAAAGAAATTACTGCTACAGCAATCAAATTTAAGTTTGAGATTTGTATGAAAGATAAAAATGGGCTCACAGCAGATTGCCCATAACTTCCATGTTGTCATGCTTTAGCCTGCTAGCTCATTTTCTTCTACACCGTGCTCTTTTCTCTGTTTAGAAGCTCTCAATACATGCATCTTTTCATTTGCAATTTCTGTTATTAATTCTGTATCCTCTATTGCAGATGGCAGTTGTACCACGAACTGCACAGGGTCATGGTTGGCTGAGGCCTGCTATAGGAGTTGTTGAGCTGTCTCAATGTCTTGTTCAGGTGCTTATTTGGGAAAATTAGCTACTGCTCATTGTATTGTCGTTTCTATGTTTTTGATTTATATGCATAAGCTAGTTATCTATGGATTATTATTTATGTTAAGATTATGAACACTGCATATAACTTTAAACTATTTTTGAAATAATTAAAATTGGTCAATGTATGTCCACCCTGCCTTCGCTTTGAACAACCATTTGCCGCCATCTTCCTCAATTCCTCTTAACTTTCTTGGGATAACCACAATAAAATTGTAGCTTTTAATGTTTTTAATATACTTGCACATTAAAATTAATTTATGAGTACCTAGTTGGACATAAATCCAAAGTGTTTTTGAAGTTTTGGTTGTTTCATTTTCTGCCTTTCCCCATCTTTTCTAGTGACAGTGGTCAATATGCTGCAAATGCCCTGTCTTTAGTCCATAATAATGCTTGGTGTTGTTTATTCTTATTGATGTAATGCAGGCTGTTCCACTTAGTGCAAGAAAGACAACTGGAGGATCTAGTGAAGGAATTGCATCTTTCTTGCAGCTGCCACATTTTAGTGAGGCTGTTATCAAAAAGATAGCCCGCAAGGTAAGTGGCAAATGTTAGCAAGAATGCTACTGTTTAACACTTCACCTATAGCTGTCAATGAAGGAGCTAGATCTCCATGGTGGTCTATGTATGAAATTTAATGTTAAAGAGTTTTCTTGCAGTTATTTTCTCTATGGTTGGGCTGTTAAATACATGTTGGACTTGGGAGGATATGGCCCAAAATTTTGACAAAATCGTCTAAATCTAACAAGTTGTGCTTTTGATTTGGTGATATATTCCTAACTTGGTTTGCAGCACAAAGAAAAACATTCTTACTTGTTTGCTGAAACTTAGGTTACTTTGAGAAGTTTATCTGTCCATCCCCTAAAAAAAACAGCTTTTGACTGGTGTAAAAGAATTTTCGGAATTCTTTCTTTAATTAGACTAAAGCATGGAGTTTCTGTTTGAACAAAATAGAGACAGTTCTTTGAGGTTTTCTTTTTATGTTTTATACCCCAACCCTGATTTATTTACATATTTAATTTTGGTTATTTCCCTTTGATCTCATGATTTAACAATTCTTGATTCTACCATTGCAGAAGGTGAGAACATTTCAAGATCTTCGAGACATGACTGTGGAGGATCGTGCTGAACTTCTAACTCAAGCAGCTGGATTTTCTTCTGTTGAAGTACAAGATGTTGAGATGGTATTGGAAATGATGCCTTCCTTAACGGTTGAAGTTACATGTGAGACTGAGGGAGAAGAGGGCATACAAGAGGCTGACATTGTAACAGTTCAAGCTTGGATAACACTCAAGCGTGGTAGTGGCTTGATTGGTGCTCTCCCCCATGCCCCCAATTTCCCATTTCACAAGGAAGAAAATTTCTGGTTTTTGCTTGCGGATGGTGTCTCAAACAATGTGTGGTTTTCCCAAAAGGTGAGCTTCATGGATGAAGCTGCAGCCATAACAGCTGCTTCAAAAACAATTCAGGAGACAATGGAGGTTTCAGGAGCAAGTGTTAAGGAGACAAGTGAAGCAGTTAAAAATGCTGTAGAGAAGGTGCGAGGTGGCTCCAGATTGGTGATGGGCAAATTCCCGGCCCCATTGGAAGGAAATTACAATTTGACTTGTTACTGTTTGTGTGACTCCTGGATAGGTTGTGATAAAAAGACAAACTTGAAGGTTAAAATCCTCAAAAGAACACGGGCTGGCACCCGCAGTGGTCATGTATCAGAAGAAGGACTGCTTGTGGAGGATGGAGTTGAAGAGGAAGAGGAGAATGAAGAGGAGTATGATGATTATGAGAGTGAGTACAGTGAAGATGAGGAAGATGAGAAGTATACAAAAAAGAAGGGCCCTGCAGCTAATGGCATGGTGAATCAAAAAGGCTCAAGCTCTGAAGGTTCAGGCACAGATGAGGAATGAAACAAATAATTCCATTTATCATTTAGACTAATAAGCCCTTTTTTTTTTGACATTTTCTTTTTGTACTTTAAATTGGCCACAAGGATAGATATTAATATTTGCTAATTAATTGGCAGAGATTCAGAGTTTTGATATTATAGACGTGTGGGGTTAACCCATTGCAGCAGCCTGGCAAGATCGATTTTTCATTTCAAATGGCTAACATGGTTCTTTTCTCATGCCTAGATTCTGTTTTATTCCAATTTACCCCTGTATAAAGTTTTGAGTCCAATTAATAGCCTTGGTATTGGTGGGCATGACGAATGCTTTGCTACTTGTATGTCACAATGAATAATGCAGCATCGAAGACCTATCATCCTCCCCCTATTAGCGGCCGTGTGATGAAGGGAAAAGAAGATAATAAAACAGGGAATTAATGGATACCCTATCATCCCTTGGGATAGCAAAGTTAGTCATAAAATAATCGCGAGTCATGCAATGGCGAAATATCTCTTTCTCCCGAAAGCTATGACACCCATATCATAAGCTTTATTTACCCTTGAATTTGCTAAAGCACAAGGCTTGAATAAACTCTGCACCCGTTACAACAATAATCTCTAACTTACCCTCTAAATAAATTTCTGTTCCAAGGAAAACAGAGCCATTCAGCACTCTTCTTTCCACTTTAATTTGATATACAAAAGGTGGTATCCATATCAATCATCAACTTGTCAAATATTTTGTCAACTGTCCACATGAGAAAAGGAAGAATCAATTCTTACCACCCCACAGCTTGCTTGTGTTTTCATCAAACCCAGTGCTAAACTAGCCCAGTAATGAGAGTTTCGATACAATATAACATGACATGAAGAAGGATTGTTTGTTCTTCTTGTACAGCCTTCTTTCCCTTGCTCCCAAGATTGAACATTTTGCATCTCACTGCCAAGGCCACCAGCGGTGCTAGATGTAATACTATTGATCAATCAAGAAGATATATTAGGTTCAGTAGTGAATAAATCTGAACTTACTTCGGCTTCCTCATGCAATACACTCACATTCTCGTCAGTTTCCTTATCTTCAGTGACACCTTTGGCAATTTTATCAAATTCCTCTAGCTGCTTTACTTTGATTTTAACACGCTTTCCTTTAATGTATCGATATTCCCATTTTGGTGGTGGATATTTCTTATTTAATTTGTCATACTTGTCCAACATTCCCAACTGTTGGAAGACATTTCCAACCATTGAAACAACTGAAACACTTGGTTTGACACCAAGCTCTTCCATGTCAGCAAATACCTACAACAGTACACTACAAGTTACATTAGTGGGAAGTAGAAAGGTTTATATTATGCATCACACAAAATACTGACAGGTGTATAACATATGTAAATGACCTAAAAATTGCTACAATAGTTCAGAAATTGCATAAGAGTACAAATATATAATTAACTAGTACCTAAGAATCGAATTGATTATCATTTTAGGTCATTAGAAGATGTAAAAACAAGAGGATTCACTTGATGCACTGCTCTATAGCCATACCAACCAAGAAGCACCAAAAACTGGAAGACGAGTCAGATTTAAAATTACTGGACTACTAAGGTTTCCATGCTAAGGGACCTCATACAACATCATTTTCAGTAACCATCTATACTTATGCATGTTGAATTTTTAAGGGAGTTAAATCAGACTTGGGATGGGAATTAGATACAGTAAATTGCTTACTTGGAGAAATCATTGAATGATAGAAGAGAAATGCCTAACCTATACACTGAATCAAAGCATAATAAAGCAGACCATTGCAATAAGAGCCTTCAATGAGATGACATTACAATACCTCAAACATCTTATCATGCATGCCCTTGTGATAGTAAATAGAAATCATTTTATCGAAGAAAATACGCGGAGTACTTTCTAAATTATCAGAAAAGAGTTTTGCCCACAGCTCTTCAGCCTCATCAAGTCTCCCATCTTCTGCTAAAGCATTCAGCAAGGTGAAATAGGTTCCCATCGTTCTTCCTTGACCTTTGCTTAGCATCCACTTTATCACCTACAAACCAAAGTGTACTTACCTAGACTTAGCTCTATTTTATATAGCAAACAATGAAAGGATAGGAATAAAGAAAAAAAGGAAAATGAAAGGGCAGATAGTTACCTGAATTATTCTCTTCCATTCTTGTTCATTCTGAAGGATCTTCAATGCTTTCTTCACCGTAATTAGAGGAAACTCTAGTTCCCATGCAATAAAGGAGTCAAGAGCCCCGTAAACTTCCTCCTTGACATTTGACAATTCCTTTACCTACATAAGCATAGCCTATATCAAGACTGCTATAACAAGAATCAAATTCCCGTCGGTCAATTATTTCATACCAAGTTCATTCTACCATGAAAAATCAGCTTAACCAACCCAAATCAATCAAAAGGGCAACATACAAAAAAATCAGGTGGCAAAAGAAGAACTTACACAGCTAACAAGCTTTGCTGATTTTGAAACAGTCCCAATTCTCCTCCTCGATTTCCATACCCGAGGATATCTTGGTCTTGGACCTTTTGCAGCGCATACCTGAAAATCATTGAGAATCACTAATTCATTAAAAAGAACATAAAACAAGGAACAATAATGATTACATCATAAATTTTTGAACTTCAAATCTCATTCTTTTTCTCTCTCTTTAGCGTTCTAAAGGAGCAAAATTTAAACAATGCTGAAATTTCACTTGAAAACATACCACCGCATTCCTTGGGCTCCCGGTTGTTTTAGTAATAAGTGGCAGAGCACATCTACAACAAAGCATCCTGACATAAAGCGAAAAACAGGGAAAAAAAGAGCTTTTGATTTACTTTTTGTAGCATGAGTTAGCATTCAGACAGCAATTTTCTTGCTTTGAAAGCTAAAAATGCTTAAACTTATCTACTCCGGCATTTTCTCAGAGCCAAATGCAAAGACACTGAGAGAGAAACTGACAGAGGCTAACCGGTTTGAGAGTCGTAAGAGACAGCGAATTTCAATGTTTGAGACCCGAGAGACTGCTTCTCCGTGTGGATAGAAGAATTTTTTCTTTTTTTCCTTCTGAGTTTCCCGTTGTCCCGAACAACTAAAGAAAGGCGTCAATCTGTTTCTTGGGGTGTTGTTGGTCTTTTTATTACCGCATAACATTTTTACATCCATTCACAAATATCCACGTGTAACACTGTAGAAAATACAAAATCTCATTCGCCGTAGAGGAACTCCACCCTTCTACCTCATCTTCGATGAGAAGGGGCGCTTGTGCATCACAAAGATCTCGCACTCATAATTCCCTTGTGAGAAACAAACAACCACCGAAATAACGTTTTTAAATTATGATAATGATGAGGATTGAATCAGCTTTGGCCGTTCGATTCCCCGCCGGTGCGAACTTCTGCTCCTCCACCGCCTTACACCGTAACTGCCCCACCAATCCTTCTCCTCTTTTGTTACCTTTTCGAAAATCATAATTTTTTATGCAATCTTCGGCTTCTTAAAAGCTGACTGAGTTGCTGAAGCAGCTCTACTGAGCTGCAACGAACGACTCGATGTGTTATTTTGAAACTTTCTTGCATTCTCTCGGCAGACAAACAGAGACTTAACCTTTTTGCTTATCTTGTGCATGTACTGTTGTCGTAGATTGTCGTCCTACGTGCAGCTCCGATGAGGTTACTAGTTGCCACGTCACCTCCCGCCGGCTGTTTCGCCGTGGCGGCTTCGACGTAACTTGGTAATGAGTTTAATTTATTGCATTTTCTTTTTTAGCACTTGTTAGCGAAGTCAATAGCACAATTTACTAAAGGTTTTGAAGAGTACTAGAAATCTCATTATTTGCTGTGATTTTTAATTTGTTGTCCAAAACAATACACTTCTAGTCTTCAAAAGAATGGAAATGGTGGAACGGCGCATAATCTGTAAATATCATAACTTGATTAAGTTCTAAACCTTAAAGGGGAAGAAATCAGTGTTTTTTCTTTGCATTTTTCATTTTCTGTGCATCTTCTAAAGTGTTTGTGGATATTAAGAAGATTAAGAAGAGTAGTTATGAATGTTAAGAGTGATTTGCAGGGATAGATTTCGAAGAATAAACAGTGGTTCTCTTTCGAGAAGGACTCTCATAAAGAATAAGATTCGAGCGACAGCAGAGCATTTAGGTTCTGCATCTGAGCCTACCAAGCAGAACAGAAGGCCACATTACCATCCATTTGAGGATATTGGTGAGGCAACATCTAAAAATAGCGGTGATGCTACACTTTCTGCTGCAGAAACCACTAGGACCATCATCAAGGTATGTTGCATTAAATGTTGATTATGGAATCAAATTTCAGAGGAATGGCTTTTAATGTAATTAATATGTTAGTATATAGTATTGCTTGTGTGTGCTTATGCTTGAATAGAAGGGAAATAGATGTCTTTTGATTCATTTTTGTTTTGGTTAACATTTGGAAGGTGTACTCTTATGCTTCTGCTTCCTGCTTTTCATCCAGTTTGTTTGGCTAATGCTGGCTGTAGTGTGTCGTTTTCAGGTGAATAGTAAAGCAACACTGATGTTTACGGGGATAATTAATGATGAAGTTCATGAAAATATTATGTGGCCAGACTTGCCTTATGTAACTGATGAACATGGAAGTAAGTCAATCATTCCCACTTATGCAATTTGGGCTTGATAGCCTCATCGTTGAATGGAAGTTGATGTGCTCTGATGTATTGCAGATGTATACTTTCAAGTGAAAAGTGATGAAGATATAATGCAAAGTCTTACTTTGGAAAATAACTTTGTGGTATGCAACATTTTCTTTCTGATAAACTTGGCAATGCCTTACTTGCCCACACCAGAAACACCTGCGTGTAGTCTCATGATGATACTTACATCTTGCAGACGGTTTTGATTTTGGCAAATTGACATTAATCTTGTTTGTCCATGTAATGCATTCCTAACTAATTTTTTTAAAAAAATATGTGTTGAGTATGGTGTTTGATATTATTGATTTAACATGATAATGAAGGCATCATTCTAATCGGAAAAATGTATTTCATTTTGTGCAAATTTGGATTATTTTATGGATATTGATCTTCAGTCACTGTTGCATGTGACAAAAGGTCAACTATGAGTCTTCTTTGTTGCTGCTGTTCTGAAAGCTTACTCAGTTCATGTTATGCAGCAAGTCATCATAGGCTTTGACACAACGGAAATAATGAAGGAAATCGAGTTATCAGGTCCTTCAGATATTGATTTTGGGATTGAGGAAATTGAAGATGAAGATAGTGATGTTGAAGATGTAGATGAGGATGAAGATGATCATACTGAAGAAGAAGATTACAATGAGGTTTGACTCTTTGCCCTTTACCTTTCAAATTCAACTTAAGTGCGAATTTAGAGTTTCATGCATAGATGTTGTAGCTCTCAATTCCTGTCTACTCTGTATGTTTTTTTTTTTTTTCTGAAAGGCTGTCTACTGAGTATATTAATTTATCATTTGTAGGAGTGGGTTGCTGCTCTTGAGGATGAAGATGATCAAGATGACTCTGATGAAACACTTGGAGACTGGGCAAAATTGGAGACTATGCGTTCCTCCCATCCAATGTATTTTGCCAAAAAGTTGACTGAGGTAGTGGCACTATACGTTTGATACTAAAGGAAAAATAATGTGGAAGCCCTGCTAGGAAGATGACATGAAATAAAATCCATGTTTATGGGTTATAGCAATATAGCATTTACTAACATGTATTAAGCTTGATTTTAATTAATATAACCCCCTTGTAGCATCTTATTTTACAAGAAATATCTGTCATGCATGGTTAACATTTGAAGGAACATCTTCTCAATTGTTTTTATCTTTTATTCTGTTGTATAGGTTGCTTCAGATGATCCTATAGACTGGATGGAGCAACCATCAGATGGCTTAGCTATCCAAGGCCTTCTAAGGCCTGCCTTCATTGAAGAACATTCTGAAATTCAGAAGCATATGTCTAGCAATCAGTCCCATAGTTCTGATACAAGTCAGGTTGAGAAAGTTGTGGAAGACAAATTGGAAGATCTTGGCATAATTAATGGCCAGAGCAGTGAATTAGGCTGGTCAGGAGATAGTTCAACAATATCAGAAGAACCAGAGAAAAATGAAATCTCAATAAATGGGTCTTCATTTTACAAGTTGGAGATGGTTAAAATTCAGCTAATTACGGCACATGGACATCAGGTTTGTAAAAGGCTTTGATGTTCACTGGTTTTCATTGGTTTTTCCCTATAAATTTGGTTTGATTAACATGTGGATATGTATTTTTATGTGCTTTAGATATGGTCTCAAATGCTGGATTAGTTCTCACTTTTCAGCTACAATAATCAAGTTTCTGATTTGATATGCATTGTTTGTTGCTGTTACTTAAGAGACATTCTTTTGTAAGTAGATGGTCTCCATATGTATCATTGCAACATAGATTATTACATGGAATAATTGAGTACTACTAAGTCCTGGATTTTGCCACAAAAAAAAAAAAAGAAGATGGTGTATGCCTATTGCCTTTTGGGCAATATTAAAGGTTTTTCTATGATACGACCTCTTATGTTCATATCACCCATTGCATCAACTACTATGTGACAGCCA